TCTATTTCACACTTGGCTACTTTGCTCTGGTTGCTCAGTGCTCTGGGGTACACTACATCACTTCATCTGTCAGCAGCATGTCTGAGGAGCAGCCGAGGATGCATAGCCCAAGGGTGTCCAGCCAAGGGAGGTGAGAAGCAGCAGAATTTAGCTGAAGCATAAAAGTGGCATGCTTCTACATTGAGTGACACTCAGCTGTGACCAGCATCTGGCCAGGAGCCACCAGCAAGAGTCATTCCCTCATGAATGTGGCCCACTTGGCATAGTTGCCCCAGGTGGATGCATGCACAGATTCTTGCCTGTCCCTCTGCTGACAGTGAGTTTGCATCTGGGGACTCGTTGCTATTTTAGCTTCCTGCAATGTTTGCTGCTATTTAAAAATAAGAGAAATTCACATGGCTTAGGACAAAGACTCCAGCTGGCAGATTCTACCTTCAGGAGAAATTAAGTGGTGCAGGGTTAAACAGCTTTCTGGGAGGAGATGGGCCTTTGTAAAGAGGTAAATAAACAGCAAGAGAGGTTCTTAACCAACAGTATGGCATGCAGAACTGGGAGAGGAGGAGGAGTGGTGGAGGAGAGGCTGTTTAAGACTCCGTTTCTCCTGTAACTGGGCTCTATACATAGAGCTGTGGGGACTGCAAAGGACAAGACCTGTCAGGAGGATAAGCTGTCTTATAGAACTTAGGGTTGACCAATGACAAACTGACCTGGGATGTCTTTCAGCAAGCTTAAATACTAAGCCCAGAATCTCCTAGGTGGCTATTTAGAGTGGCTAGGGACCACTGAGAAGAATGAGGACAGTCCAGGGATTAAGAATATGTTTGGGGGGGTGGAGAGTTGGCTCAGTGATTGAATTCATACTGTTCTTGCTGGAAACGCAGGTTTGGTTCCTATCACTCATGTCTGGCAGCTCCCAACCACCTGAATCTGCTCCTATCCAGGGACTTTGACAACCTCCTCTAGCCTGTGCAGGCACCTGTACTCATTTTACCATACTGAAAATACAGATACACAGACACACACAATTAAAATGAAATAAAATCCTCTTTTAAAAAATGAGTTTGTTTGAATCCAAGTTTCATTGAATATTGTCCATGAAAACATAGTCAAACTATAACAACTTCTCAGAACCTGTATTTCTTTTAAAATTATTTATTTATTATTTATTTACTTATTCTTTCATATATTATATCTCAACATCAGTTCCCCTCACTCTTCTCCTCCCAGTCCCTCTCCCCACCTTCCCTCTCTCACATCCAGTTCTCCATTTCCCTTCAGAAAAGAGCAGGCCTTCCAGGGCGATCAAAAAAAACATGCCATAACAAGTTACAAGAAGATTAGGCACATACACTCAAATCAAGGTTGGATGAGGCAACCCAATAGGAGGAAAAAAGTCCCAAGAGCAAGCAAAGGAGTCAGAGACAGCCCCTGCTCCCATTGTTAGGAGTCCCACAAGAAGGCCATGCTGCACAACCATAGCAAATATGCAGAAGACCTAGGTCTGAGCCATACAGACTCCTTGTTTATTGCTCCAGTCTCTGTGAACCTCTTATGAGCCCAGGTTAGCTAGGTCTGTGGGTTTTCTTGTGGTGTCCTTGACGCCTCTGGATCCTACAATCTTTCCTCCCCTCTTCCGCACGTTCCCCAAGCTCCATCTAATATTTGACTGTGGGTCTCTGCATCTGCTCCTATCAGTTTCTGGATAAACTCTCTCTGATGATACTAGGCTCTGCTCTACAAATATAGCAGAATATCATTAGGAATCATTTCTCATTGACTTTTTTTTTTTTTTTGCCAATCATGTTTGGTTTTATCCTAGGTCTCTGGGCTGTCTAGCCTCTGGTTCCTGGCCCTGCAGAACCTGTATTTCTTTATCTGCATCACCTCACAGGGTTATGGAATGAGGAGTAAGGTATAATCCACAAGAGGACTGTTTAGTGTGCTTTGTACTTAGTTCTCATTACACACAGCTTCCTTCATGATGCTGAGAAAAAATGATCATTTATGGTATAGCTAGGGCTTTTCACCGTTCCTGTGTCCTTACATCTTCTTCTTCATGCTACTTTATCCTCACAATTATACTCTATCGTAGACTATATTTGTAGTTCTACCCCTATTCTTCAGGTGAAGAAACCGAGGTTGGGATAAGTGGAGAGGTCCGGCCAAGGTGCATAGTGACAAAGCTCAGGCTAGACTCACTGTTTGTTCTACAGCCCATGAATGACTCAGGCCTGCTTATAATGCCTGGTTGTTGGGGAAGTTGAGTGTGGAGGTAGAGGTATATGGCAATGTAGTTAGGAGCATTGGAGTCACTTGAGCTGAATTTGAAGGATGGTTCTAACATTTACTTATTGTATAGCCTTGGACTATTACTTTTCTTCTCTCTCTCTCTCTCTCTCTCTCTCTCTCTCTCTCTCTGTGTGTGTGTGTGTGTGTGTGTGTGTGTGTGTGTGTGTGTGTGTGTGTTTTCATGGGCTTACAGGTGCATATGTTTGGGCATGTGAGTGGAGGTCAGGGGTCAACCTCTGCTGTCACTGTTTAAGTTCTATCTACCATATATTTTTGAGAAAGATTCTCTCATTGGCCTGCAAGTTGTCACGCAGGCTAGGCTCTATGTGTTGTGAACCTCTGTTATCCCCCTGTCTGTGACTCCCAAGTTCTTGGATTACTAAAGTGCCACCATGCCCAGATTTTATGGTGCTTCTGGGGATCAGACTTATCAGTGCTTATCAGAAGCACTTCACTGAATGAGCTGTCTTGCCAGCCCCTTCGTAACCTGACCCTCAGATTATTCAAATGGGACGAGTGACTTTGGGAGTTGTAGTTCAGAGTTTATCACACTGGTATTTATAGCTGCCAGCCTTCTCATTGTAGTGGTTTCTAGGTTGGGGCACAATGGAGCATTGTTGTAGAGTCAGAGGACTAGATACTACAGTCATTGTCTGTTTTATTAGCAGATACAAATGTGGTATGGAGTTTGGTGGCTGGAAGGAATGTCTGCTGAGAGGGAGTAGGGCTTGAAAAGGGTGGTGTGGTCTTAGTTCTTGACCTGGTCCCAGTAATTACACTGAGGCTGAAGGGGTACCATTAAGACAGCCTGGAGCTAGGGCAGGGGATAGACAATACAGCTTTCTTCCCGCCTTACAACTCTGCTCACCAACCCTGATGTTCCAGATGACTATATTCACTGATGAGGTCTTCCAGCCTTCCAGATGGAAGAGCCTTCATTTAAAGGGCTGGAAGAGTCTTTTGCAGGGACCATGTATGGCAAAGACAATAGCCTTTTAGGAGGGCTTTGCTGACATTCTCCAGAGAACCCCAAGAAGGGCAGACATTAGTCCCTTCATCGTCACTGAGTACTTTCATTCACATCTCTTAGATGTGGGCTTGGAATGCCCAGGTATCTCAGATTCCAGCAGAAACAGGAACACTCCCAGAAGGGCTCAACTGTGTGTGGAGATAGCAAAGACATAAGCTGTCTCCCCAGGCCCAGGTACACTTAAAGAAAGCAGCTTCAAGCCAGCACGGCTCTGATTAAAAGACCACATGTAGAATATTGGTCTGGTTTCAAATCCCACCTTGAAAGGGGAATGTTAGATGTGCAGTTATAAAGGAGCCCACACCTTTAGGATAGGTCTTGAACTGCATGATCCAAGGAATAACTGAGGGCATCTGGGGCATTCAATATGGCTTGGCAGGACCAAAAGACTTTATAGGGCCCTGAGGGATACTTTCAAAGAGTTTTCTAAAGGTAGAAAATATGAGCATCTGGATTACCTAGGAGAGCAAAATTTGTTAAATAATTGGCCGGGTGGAATGAAGACTTTCTGATACGAGAGCTCTACATAAATGGCATGACCTATTGGGAAGGGAGGGATGGGAGAGTTGAGGCTGTAATAACAGCTGGGAGGGGCTAGCAGTGAAAGCTGTGAGCTTTGACATCAAGCTGGATACAAGCTCAGGTTTCAGCTTGGGTTTTATAAGACTTGAGAAAAAATGTTTTTGGCCCTTAGTTTCTTGTGAAATTCATATAATGTCTATACCAATGAATTGTCATGTAAGTGAACAAAATGTTGACACTTGTACTAGTACTCAGTGCATTGTAAAGATGAAATTGGCAGTTTAGTTCCTCCTGCTATTATCTAAGTTTGGTAAATTATAAGGGGGAAAGTTTATCATTTCTTCCTAGTTCCTCAACCCTCTGCTTTCCCAGTTCTCGTGAGTCCCATGCTGTCAAAGTCCCTGGTGTCTTCTCACTAATGCGCTCAGTGTATCTAGAATTTTCCATTTTATCAGTGTCCCATTCATTCTTAATGACCAATATCCTCACTTTTACTGCCTCTCTGCTCCCCATAATCGAGAACAGCTTTCTCTCTATCTCTGGTCTTTGTACCTTTGCTGTCTTGTGATAAGAAGCCATGCAATATAATAGTGCAGTTAACTTCCCCTTAAAGTATTCTTCCTGCCAGGAAAGAAGGGCTCAGCACAACACCTGGTCAACGGCTGGAAATTGTTCAAAATTCTAAATAGGCACAGGGACAGATCTGTTACTAATGGGATTTTATAAACCATGACCAAAAGCAACTTAGGGGAGGGAGAAATTGATTTGGTTCACAATTCTAGGATACAGGCCATTACTGCAGAGGACATCAAGGCAAGATCTTCAAGTGTCACATCCACAATCAAAAGCAGAGAGAAAATAAATGCCTAGATCCTGGCTTACTCACTCTTTAGTCACTACTCAATAAGCCCTCTCTATTCTACTCACATACCACTCAAGACCCCTACCCAGTGAAGGATGCCACCCACACTGGGCTGAGTCAACCAATAATCAAGACAATCTCCTATAAACGTGCCTGCAGGCCAACCTAACCAAGCTATTACCTCAATGGAGACCCTTCCTTGGTGATTTTAGATTGTGGCAGGCTGATATCTAATGTAAACTAGCACACTGAGGAATCTTAAAGCTCACCAAGACCCCTGTCTCCCTTGCACCCCAGAAAGGAGCAGAGCTACATGCAGAAGCGCTGGCAGGATGTGCGTGTGGGGGATTTTGTCCAGATGCGGTGCAATGAAATCATCCCAGCGGACATCCTTCTCCTCTTCTCCTCAGACCCCAGTGGGGTCTGCCACCTGGAAACTGCCAACTTGGATGGAGAGACCAACCTCAAGCAGAGACGTGTTGTGAAGGGCTTCTCACAGCAGGTAAGGCGCTTTCTATATAATCTTACATGGAGACGTCAGAGGCAAGAAGTGAGCTCATCTCTTGGAAAGCTGAATCTGCACTGGCAGAAAGAGAGGTGAAAGTAGCAGGTGCCTCTTTAGAAACTCACTCCTCTCGGGAACCCTCTGGATAACTATCATGTCCATATCACAGATGAGGAAACTGAGGCTAAAAAAGAGTCTGTACCTTGCTGAAGACCTGAGTTCTTAAGTGATGACTGAGTTCATCCACTTAGACAATCTACCTTTGTATTCAAAACCAAGTCCTACAACTGCTCAGTTACAAATGCAACCAACCCTCTCCTCTGCACTCAGCCTAGCCTGCTCGTTCTGCCCAGCTCAGATCTGAGCACGAATCTTTAATATTCCTTTGGCTCCTTCATAACCACCAAAAGATAAAAGCAGTTATTTTCCCCGTGTGTGTGTGTGTGTGTGTGTGTGTGTGTGTGTGTGTGTGTGTGTGTGTAGGTAGGTAGGTAGGTAGGTACACAAATATCTGTGTACCACATCAGGTCTGTCCTCAGAAGCCATCCACCTGTTTATTGAAACAGGGTCTCTCGTGGGTCTGGAGTTTACCAAGCAGGTCATGCTAGCGTTCCATCAAGCTCCAGGGATCCACCTGACTCTACCTTTCCACCACTGGGATTTCAAGCACATACCATGCTCAGCTTTTTTCTTTGAGTTCTGAGGATCGAATTTAAGTCCTCACGCTTGCACAGCAAGTGCTTAGCCAACTAAGCCATCTCCCAGTCCCCATGTTTTTCCTTTTGTGTACCTACCTTAATGACAGGGCTAATCATCTCCTAGGTCAGAGAGCCCTTGTTGACACTTTTGTTATTTCTTTACACTTAACATCAGCAGAGCAGGAGGGCGGAAGAAATGCAGGTAGTTTGGTGGTGACCAACTCCGACTCTGAGCTTTGACAGAACTGGACTTAACTCTAAGTTCTGTTACATATCAGCTGTCTTATTCTATACAAGTCATCACTCTCTCACACCTTGGTTCCTTTATCCAGAAAGAATAGGCAAAAATAATCCCTTTCCTTTAGAGTAATTCTAAACACTAAACGGTATAGACCTGAGTTACTTGGCATGGACATCATCCTGAAAGAGACTGGCAAATGGTTGCTATTAATATCAATGATTTTCATAAACAGTCTGTGGACTAATTGGGTATGATATTCTGGTTTTCTATTAAAATCCTCCTTGTGGGGTTTGATTTCCAACCTGGCACCTTTCTCCACTGATGGGAAAAGAAGAGCTCTGACACTTTGCTGAGGAGAAATTTAAAAAGTCGGGGGATTTGGGAGAAAGAAAGCCAATGTTCCACTCCTATAAGGGTCTCACGAGCTGTAGTTCTATGGCATATACCATTTCTAAAGATGAAACAGTATATTCTGCCTCCACTTGCCGCCTTCACAGTACCTGGATGAGCAGTCCTCAAAATGGGATTTGTCACTATGTGATTGACAGTCATCCTAAGCCTGGTCTCTCCTCTCCGCTTGTGGGCAGGCATGCCAACCATTGTCCCATAGCTTGGCTGCGAGCACGAACCGGAATAGGAAAGCAAGGAGCAAACTGGCAGCTCGGTTCCCACTGCATACACAATAGGTGGTCTCTGTGGCCATCAGCACTGGAGCCCACCTTCACCCATCATTGTCCCTGCACTCACTGCAGTGACCACAGCTCTTTGCCTCTTGGTCTCTGAACCCCGCTGATCTGGCTTGGCCTCTTGGGTTTTATTTCCCTTGGCTTGCCCCTCCCCCACTCACTGGATCACTCTAGGATTTACAAGGAGGAAAGACGAAAGTCTAGTGTACAGTCAAAGTCCTTTAATGAAAGCAGGAACAATCTAGATCTGGCCTTGGGGCCCTGTGACCTACTTCCTTGAGCAGAAACCTTTTTAACCAATACTTACTGTAAGGATTACACATTAAACACGCCGACAATGTGTGCACAGGTGAATCTGACATCATAGTCTGGGTACAGACAAGGGTATCTCAGACTTGGTATTTGGTTCTATTCCTCTCCTTTTAAGTTCTGGAAATAAGCATTTATTTGAGTAAATAGCTCTGTTTTTGCATCTCCAACTTCAGCATCCTCATCCAATTTTAAATCTCATTTCATCTCTCATCTCAAAGCTGTTGAATTTCAGCCATTGACTTTTCTTATTCCTTTGGCCTCAGGTCCTGACTGTTTCTAGTCTATCAATCAGATTCTTTGGGATTTAACTAAAATGAAGCTAGGTGAAAGAATCCTTCATACTCCAGCACCTTAACCATTCAATTTAGCAAATATTTCTAATTCCCACCGGGAATTCCCATAGGACACTTGGCATTTCTTAAAAAGGTAAATTCATATGTGAAAAGAAGAAGATTTATTGACTTGGCTTCTGGAGCTCTTTGTCCTTGTCCTGATTTTTCCTTTGCTCAAGAGCATTTGTGATTCACTATTAACAATAATAAGTTTGAGCCCATCGTTAGAGCTTTGCATAATTAACTTGTCCTTACAACAGCCCAATGGGTGGACACCATCATCGTTCTTGTTTTACAAATAAGGAAAACTAGGGCATAGATAAGTCATGTCCTTCACCCATAGTCACTGAGCTGTAGAGTTGGAACCAGAATTCAAAACCACACTTGTCCTTAAAGCCCATGGTAGCTCATTAAAGCCCAAGGTAGGTCCTTTGGCTGTCACCTTGCATTTACAGAGGGGTGCATATAGGACAATACTTATGTATTATTTATAGATCTTTTCAGACATAAGTAGTGGGTTGCAGGAAGAATAAAGCAGTGGAATTAAAGGATTAAATCCCAGCTCACTCTCTGGACAGGGGAAGTCTTGGCTGCTCTCTACCCACCTACCCACCCTCTTTTCTCCCTATTATCTTTAATGAATAAAATTCCTGAATATACACAGAATTCACTATTAGCTAATGCTGTACCACAGAGTTTCCCCAATGAATTGAACAAAGATATAGATGAGAGTTGTAAGGCAGGAAAACACTGCAAGGATAAATAAGATCAGAAGGCAATAGGCAGCATGTTTTAAATACTGTGCTGTTGGACTTTTCTGGTCCTCTAATAAGTGTCAAAGGAGGAGGGGAGCATGTAATTTCTATTTATTTATACACAGAAATCTTTTATTCCAAGGAACAGATCGCAGAACTGCCATTGGAAGAGTGGGGTCACCCTTAGAGATTTGCTGCAGATACATAATGGGTGCTCAGAATACATCATCACTGTCCCTGGGGAGCTTTCACAAATATCCATACCCTCTCCCATTGCCACAATGAAACAATGACTTATATAACTTGCATAACTTGAAATTTTCCCCCACAAGTTATGTTAATGTAAACTCACTGACACCTTCTCGAAAACTAGAACAAAGGAAAGGCATCATTCCAGTTGGTGGGGATGAGAAGGGTGGGGGGGGTGGGGGAATGACTGCAAATTGCCATCAATCTATGTACTTCTTACGGTGCAGCCACACTTCCAAACACATTATCCTTTGAATCCATACAACCACTCTGTGAGGAGGGCATTACTATCCTCATCTAAGAGATGAAAATTCTGGGAACAGGAAAGGCAGATCTCACTATTGTCTCAGAAGACTTGGAACACCTCCTAATATGATTTGTGTAGGGCCTTGGTGTCTTGAATGAGTCTCAGTGGCTTTTCTTAACTTGTTTTCTCTCTAAATCTCTATAATCCATGAGATCCTTACTCTCCCCAAAGGACTTTTACTTACCTCAGAAATTGCTAGAAGTCCCCACTTAACATGGTATTTTCATTAACCTGAAATGGTGAGAGACTGAAGATGACTTCCTTAGTTAAGCATTTCCCAAGACAAACTATGTCCAACACTGTCCCAAGCTCTTGAAAAATATGGGTCATGGTCAAGTCAAACTAATAAGCTGTACACCACCCCCCATTGGAGGGTCCAGTGTACAATATATAAAGGTCCCTGAGAGCATTTTTTGGAACAACTACTTGTTTACATTCCTATGGAACTTTATGGAAGGGGACATTAACCCAGATTTGCTACAAACATGATCATGGCAGGTGAAAATGACCATTCCTCTGGCCCAAGTAGTTTCATCTTGTCTTTCCACGAGTGGAATTGTACACATCAGGGGCCTCTGATGAGGGCCTGCTTTCTAGGACACTGTGGGGACCAGAGTTTGTGTCCAAATCCTTTGCCCAGAACTAAAATTAGGCCAAAGCCATTACTTTTTCAACTGAAATCTTCCTTGGGAGCCATTTTTGAAATCACAAAATCATTGACCTATATTGGAAATAATAAGTCCCATATCACAATGCCAAGGAAGAGTTGGAAGCAAACAGCCCAACATTATTACTATGCTAAGTTCTATGCCCAGCAGCCAAATGGACTTGACCAGGCATTTAACTTGTTCACTTTTCTTATTTGTGATATTCTGAATTTTGAAGCCTTTGGAAATGAATACCTGTGCCTTTTATTTTGGTAAATATAAAAGCTACTAAACAGAAAGGATCAGAAATGAATTCTCCTAATCAATACTCTAGATCAAATATGTTTTTGCTTTTCTATCACCTAAATGACTGAAACTTAAGCCCTACAAAAGCATGTATCCAATTGTTTTCCTGTGTCAGGAATATGCTAAGCTAAGCCCAAATGTGGGCTGGCCATTTCAGCATCATCTAAGAGGTACTCAGCAATAGGGAATTGCAGTGATTTTAACAAGAGTCCCTGGCAGTTCACATGCATATTGAACTTTGAAAAGCAATGTCTGAGGGCAACACTGATTAATATTTGTGGTTTGTATTAATTAATTAATATTTGAACTCTTTGTTGAGCATCCATTTTAACTACTATAGCTTTCACCCCACCAATAGTTACTGCTTGAAAGCATTAGTTAAGTTAGAAACAATCATTCTCTGCAGTGGAAGTACTGATTTTAGCACATTTAGAAACAAGAGCACTTGCCTACAAATGAGTTGT